GAAGCGTGGAGGCAGGAGCGGCTCAAAGCTTAAATGCTGGAGGAACAGGTGAGTCCAATTAATGAAATGTGAAACAACTGAAGGGGATTCATAAATGAAAGGGATAACAGTCCAAAAAGGGAATATAGTACAACTTTTGAAATTGAAAACAAAAATCAAACCTGATTTTGCAGTGAATTAAGCAGACTAAACATTTCTTCAACTCTGCTGAATAGTTTTACAGATTTCTGTCCAGATTAGAGGCCAAATATCCAGTCAACATGAATGTCCATCTTCAAGGACATTTTTATAAAAACTTAATTAAATACTGATGGACTGGGTGTATATACTTGAACCTGTATACTTGATTTAGAAGAAATAAAAAAGTCACATCTGTGCACTTTGTATATTTAATTGTAACAGAATAAATAACATTCAGAGTCTAAACTTAGCATGAACTTCACAGTGAGCACAACTGTATGACAATCTATATGGCTGTCTTTTTTTAAGACTTGTCATCCGTTGGATTGTTTAATCTTTATGGTGGATTTCCTGCACATTTCTCAACCACATCCTGGGTCTTGACAGCCCACACAAGCTCTTATCCATGTGTGAGACACAGCAGCGCCCCACTACGCCCACCCACGCTTTGTGGCAGCGCAGCTTTACACCGTTTTTGGTAACATTTTGTGCCCATTTTTTTGCTTGACAATATCATTTGTTTGGTTGACTGGATGTCTGTCCTTTGCACGCAAGCAGCTGGCTTTGTACTGAGCATCACAGTGCAGGAACGCACCAAACCATTGATCCAGAGACACAGTCGCAGTGCATGATGCAGAAACTGCTTGAGAAAAGGCTGTTACACCACAAAGGCTCAGTTCTGCCTAATAGGTGGACTTACTTCTGCTTGTTAGAGCTTGGTTCTCATTGCTGGTAACCAGTAACAGGACTGGGTCAGTATACACATCTCGTTTTCTAACAGGGCTGCAAAACCACAAAATCTTACCAAGAATTTCTATAATCGTTGAAATCCAGTGAATTTGCACTAATTTGCAGATTAGTTGAGTTTCTGGGAGCAAAATTTCACGAGAAGAAAAATTACAGAATCTCGTTCCTGATCTGTTTCTGTTACATCAGCCTACGTCTTGAGGAACAAAAATGTCTAAAATTAGTGTGAGGTTGCATGCGAGCAGACACACCACAACACTAAGGAAGTTGCAGATGCATGGGTTTATCAGCAAAGTGAAGCAATGATCAGCTGGAGGAGGCATCTTCTCTGATAATCTCAAGCCTTGGGCTGTGTACGACCCAAAACAACTTGTTCTACCCATGTGCAATCAATATCTAAAAGGCCCCAATTACAATCTTTCCACCTCTAAAAAAAATTGATTTGAGCCTCTTTCATATTGACACCATCCTAGAAAAAAGCTTTTGGCAAAAAATTGTCTCAGGCCATTTTTTATTATTTTAGTAAGATGACAAATGTGGTACCAATTGAAGTGTGTATCTGGTTGTTTTCTGCAGTATAAACAGTCTAAGCAACTTTTTGGCAACATATTAGCTTGTTTTGATAATAATTTCTTAATGTTGATGAAAAAGCACCAGTGGCTAACTTAGATCAAGGCATTTTGTTTTTCCAATGTTGTAAGTGAAATAATTTACCAGATGAACTTAATTTAAAACAAGCTCATATTTCCTGCTCAAATGTTACCTTTGAATTAGTTTAGTCTTATTTCACATCTACTAAGATATTTGCTTTAAAAATTAGACAAAAAATACTTGGTTTGGTGTGTCATAATTCTGACTCAGACTGAAAATTATAATTATGAAGTGACGCACAAAACATAGTAATCCCACAACTGCTGGCTCAGATATCCATAGACATGAATATGCTAACATCCATTGATATGAACATGCTAACATCCATAGAAATGGATATGCTAACATCCTAGCGGACTTAGTCATAAATTTTCAGTCAATGCTACACAAAAAGCTTTCACTATTAATTGTACTCTTTTTCTTATTAGCTTCCTTTGATTTTGTGACGATGCTTTTGTCTCCCATTGCTAGATAAACTTCAAAGTCGATCCATAAACGTCCATCCGTTATTACTTCCGTAAACAGTGCCCTGCTGTGTGACGTCAACGTTCTTCTTCTGCGCATGCGGATTGTAACCAGAAGTCTCGGTCGAGTTTATTTTTCTAGAATTAACGACCACACAGAAATAAAGATAGATTTGTTTCTGATATTATGTAATATACCGATTCTATACATCATATATTTTTAATATTATTTAATAATATATACATATTTTTTACTTAAGTTAGTTTTAGATTAACATGATGCGATCACGTTCATCCGGGCACATTATGACGTCATGTTTCAGGTCTGACTCTCATAGACTAGCCCGTACATATTAGACCCCAAAGGATGCGTTCTGCACACATAAAGCTGTGAAAGTGAGTGGGAGAGAAATCTCAGGCTGAGTTTACAGCTAAAGCTGGGATTTCCAAACCAGGGACAATCTGACTGTCTCTTGCATCACCTGAAGCAAATAACAGGAAAGATAAAGATCTCTGTGTTTTCACTTTGGTTTATGCCCTTAAGTGTAAAGATTTGCCAGATATCAACATTCAATTGATAAAATTTAAAAGAGACAGCTGCAAAAAGCAACATCAACCAGAAAATGGGTGACATATTATGAGGTCATCAGCTGTTCAACCTATTGTCGGTTTGTTAAAAACCCCAACAAACAGTGTTCTTTGAAAATCAGATTAGCATTTTGTAATTTTATTTAATCAAATTTAAAGCTACTATAGTAACACCCAGAATTATTTATACCCTTATCAATTAGATTTAATATACATTTTCAACCAAGAAGCTTTTTCTGACAGGAGACAAAAAAATCCTTAAAAGTTACCAAATAACATGAACTAAATGTACAGTTTTGTAAGAAACTGCACATTGAAACATATTTATTCCTGCATAAAAATATTTTTTTCATTGCAGCAACCCAACCCTAGTTGTTGACCAATGATTTTGTTGTTTCCACAGGCATTTCTGGTGCAATGTCTGAGGTTGGAAGAACTCCTTTCCATCTCGCTAATCTTTAGCTTCTATCAGATCGGTTGGAAGTGTGGCAGGGCAATTCCTGAACGTTTACGCTGCTTCCTGTCAGAGGTGGCATGTTGATAAAATTGAAAGATTACTTCACACCTTACATTCCCAGGTTTCTGACTCGTTTCAAGCTGAAGTGTACATCTGTAAACATGTCTCTCCTTGTTCATCATCAATTTTTGCTACTATGATTTGAAAAAGTCTAGTTAATAAAAATGAGTTTGTATATTTTAGTCCGTTAAAACAAGCTTCTACATCATGATTAAAGTTACTTGCAAGTTAGTTTTGTCTTTTTTTTAACTGTACTAAGATAGTTCCACAAAAAACTAGACCAAAAACACTGAAGATTTTGTGTTTTTGCAGTAGGGAGACTGTTGTTCATGAGTGTGAGATTTTTTGTTGAAGGGGAGTTTTTCCTCTCTACTGTTACTGTATGCATGATCAGAATGAGGGATTGCTGTAAAGTCAACGGCCAGGACAAGTGAACGCTACAATGTGCTACTTTGTTTTTGCTTCTTGTTTTTTGCAAAAAAAAAAAAACCAGACAAAAACATCAATGAATAGAGTCTGCTTTGTGCAAATAAGAATATTTTGGAGTAATTGTCTCATTAGATGCTGAAGATAAATTTCCAAAGCAGTATCTGCAGGTTTTGTTTCAAAATTTGCACAGACAAAATGAAATGAAAGATATAAGAACTGGTCATTTATGTGCACAGACTGCATACTTGAAAGTACACCAACACAGAGGAGTCAACCAAAACCTGCAAAGACAATCACGAAAACACTCAACTGTTTTACAAAGTTGGTGTTTGCCGCAGCAACCACACACCCTGCTGATCCCCTGCTGTGCAAACAGCTTAACATCAGCTGCTTGTCTGGCCTTCTAACGCATTGCTTTAGCTTTATGACCATCTCTGCTAATCATCTCCTCGTTAGGGACTCTGCATATTCATACTAATGTTTTAGGCACCAGCAGCAGCATAAACACTCCTTCAGATCAGTGACCAACTCCTCGCTTCTCCTTCACAGGTCTACACTCCAAAACAAAAAGTATTACTAAGTGTTTTTAGTCTAGTTTCTAGTGCAAATATTTTAGTACACTTGAAATAAGAACAAAAAACTACAAGTAACTCTTCAGAAAGATAAAGGAGCTTATTTCACTTTGAACAACTTATTTTTCCTGCACTAAAGTCAAATAATCTGCCACTGGAAATAATACTTTTCATCAAATGTTTTGTCTTATTCCAAGTGTAATAAGTTATTTGTTCTTGACCAAACATACTTAGTAAGATTTAGCATTTTTGCAGAGTAGCACATGGCTGCATACCATTCCTCACCATCATCCGCTGATGCGTCTGTGAATGAGCGGCCGAGGACAAAAGGGATCAGGGCCGCGAAGCCAACGCAGAGAGTGACCACCGTGACCTCACGGGTCAGCCGGGAGCCAGGCAGTGAAAAGACTCCCTGCAACCCCCCATCCCAGCAAACACGCATGCATGCCCGCAACCACAGAGCCAGCAAGCTCCTGGACAACTCAGTCCGCCGTGGGAATACGGCACAGAGGAAGAATCGGCATTTGCCCCACAGGAGCAGAAAGAAAGCGGCCGTGTTGGGAATTTTGGGTCATGCTTTTCTCCGCACATTCCTCACTGGTTTCCCCAACAATAAACCGTGTCAGAGGCGAGACAACAGCTTGCATTCTGGATACCTTACACCATTCAATGCCTCAAAGCTTCACGGCCACACATTGGCCTCCAAATGTACGAGGGACGGCCTTCTGAAGCGGTGGAAAGGTTGTGAAGGCTTACTATATTTAAGAATCACATGGAAGAGGATGCACATTCAGCTGGAGGTCATGCGGCTGCTGCAAGCATGAGACGCTTCTCACAAAATAAAGGCACATATAATCTGGAAATGCCACATATTTTATTTTTAGGAACCATAACAGGCTTTGAGTCATTTCAAATTGCTGCACAATTTAAAGTGATCACAGGTTTGTCAACACTGCAAAAGTACAACTTACCAAGTATTTTGCTTTTAATTTCTAGTGTACAAAATCTTAAGACAAAACTTACAAGAACTTTTTAGGAATAAATAGAGGCTTGTTTTATCTCAGTAATTCCTTGATATTAATAATATTTCCACTGAGGGAAAATGTCTTGCTATTAGTGGAATAATCTGCCAGAGGAACTAGTACTTTTTCCATCAATATTGAGGAATTATTTAAGCTTTTCAAGAAGATCTGGAAGTGTGTTTTAAGAAAATAATTCATTAATATTGATTTTTTTCTTCTACTAGAAGATTATTTCACTAATAAGGCAGTTTTTGCTGTGTTACAAATTCAAAATTACGTGATTAATCCCAAAGTGGAATTAAATAAAAATGACAAGTGAAATAATCAACTAGTACTTTTAAAAATCAATATTATAGAATTACTCACATAAAAGAACCTCCTGTTTACCTTTGAAGTTACTTGTAAGTTAGTTTTGTCTTATTTTAAGTGCACTAAGATACGTGCAACAGAAACTAGACCAAATATGCTTCCTAAGATTTTATGGTTTTGAAATGAAAAAAATATGTCTATGCAGTAAAAAAAATGAAACATCCTTCGTTCTGCATGACAAAAACGTAAAAATAAATAAATAACTTAGAAGTTGAGACAGGCCAAAGCAAAAGTTATGTAGACCTGTGAAATAAAAGTCCACTGGTCTCCCAGCAATGCAGCCACTTCGCTTTGGTCTCCAGCTTTTTGAAGGCTGGAGACCAATTTTTGGTCAGCCAATATACCAATATTTGCTGTTTTCTTTGGCACTTCAGTTTGAAAGTCATTGTTGTTTTCAGTCTTTATTTCTGTCCGTTGCTCACAGTTTGCTCTCCTCTTCCTCCAGTGGTCGATTCAAACCTGGGATGAACTTGAGGAGACGCCTGCGGAAGCTCTTCTGTTTGGGTTTTCTCTGCAGCGAGCCGAATCCTCCCGGTTTCTCCGTCGACCCCACGGACGACGACGACCCCCTCAAGTAGCTGCGCGTGCTGGCGCTGCGGGTCAGGTGAGTCTTGGCCACGGTGAGGAGTTCGCTGGTCGGTCGGACGCGCTGCTGCCTCTGGGAAGGCGGCTGCTCGTTGATTTTGTCGGCGCTGCTCGAGTCCACGTAGCCGTCCGAGTGGTACACGCAGGTCTGGTAGAGCGGGTCGTCCTCGGTGGCCGTGCTGAGGAGGCTGGCGCTGCTGCTGGTGCTGCCGGTGCAGCGGAGGGCTCTCTGCGCCGCGGGGCTGGGCGTGCCGATGCTGCCGTAGATTCCTGCCGACTCCAGGGACTCGTACAGAGCAGCGTCGCTCATCACGATACCTGCAGGAGACGAGAGCAACGTCAGCACAGCAGGAAACAACATCTGGACTTAAATCTAGCATATAAAAGGAATCTATTGACAAAAAGGTTAAATTACGCAAATTGCTGACTTATTTTAACTAGTATAACTGCTGACGGAAAAAGACATAAAATCCTGTTTCAGCAGCTCGGAAAATCCAGCTAACATTTCCAGTTTTACTGGAAATTAAAAGCTTATGCAATTTGTTGCCTGAAAAAAGTAAATCAACTTTCCTAAATGCCAAAGAACAAACAACAAAGCAAAAAAAAGACTTTGTGTGCTTTTGCAGTGAAACATCATAATGGACAAAATCTTACCAAATATTATTGGTCAAGTTTATGATTCAAAAATCTCAGTACACTTGAAATAAGATAAAATTGACTTAGAAATAACTACAGCAAGAAATAGGAGCTTGTTTTGAGTAAATAAGTCCTTAAAATTGATCTTGAAAAATGTACTATTTCCACCAGCAGATTAGAACAATACATTTTCCCATGTTATAAGTAAAATACTCTTTACTTTTTCTAAATATTGGTGAATTAATAACTTTAAACAAGCTCCTATCTCTTTGCTCAAAAGTTACTTGAAAGTTAGTTTTGTTTTATTTCAAGTGTGCTGAGATTTGTGTACCAGAAACTGGACCAAAAATGCTTTTTTTTTGTGTCTAAGTGTGAGCTTTTGCAGTGTTTCAGATCTAAATATGAAAATATATTCATCTGTTTATGAGCAAAATGAAAGCTGGCATCAGTAAAGCCAGTGAGTTATAATTATTACTTACCATGGACAAGCCTCTGCTCCTGCACCATCAACGAACGATATTCATCCCACTTCTCATGAAGCGTTTGCTGCAGAGAAAAGCGAAAGATTTGTTACTTTACAAACAAACATTGAAAAAAAACCCAAAAATACCAGCACCAAATAGGTTGATGTTTAAATTGCTAGCGTGGTATTGCATTGGATAAGAGCAGAACAGCTGCTGTAATCTTTAGGGGAAAGTTTGTTCATTCGAGCCACTTCACAAGTTGAGCCTGCAGCAATCCCTGCGTCTGCTGCTCAGACCGCGTCATGCAACAAGCGGACCTACTGGAGACAGGTGTGGAGCAAGGGGGAAGGGATCCCAATGTGCAGCGTTTAACATAACCTAAATGTGTGTGTGTGTTTGTGTGTGTGAAAGGCTACTGGACACAAAACCAGCCTGACTCACAAACAAAAGGGAAAATACTCACCTTTAAATACTGCAGCCGGGCCTCGAGCTCAGCTTTTCGGATTGAGTCACTGTAAACCGTCTCCAGCCTTAAAGTGAAATACCAAAAGACCACAGGGTTATTAAGCTCAACAGGAAGCACTTATAAAACCTACAAGGGCAGAAAAAGGCTGTTAAAGAAGCTCTATGAGAGGCTTTTTTCACAAGTCCACGTTTACAAGCAGCGTGGAAGGATAAACATGAACCATTTCCACTTTGACAGTACAAACGCTCTTTAATCATGAGCTGTGGAACAAAGTGGAAAAAAAACCATTTACACACTAACACTTAATAAGTGAAGCTGAGGGTGTAAGTTGATGACGTTCGACTATAAAACCTTCAAGGCTCACAGCCTGTCCGCACTAATTGCCCATGGTTCAAATGAAACACCCAAAAAACAAGAAAGAGAGCAACGCACAACAGGAGAAATTATTCAAACAAGCTAGAAAATTTCATCAGAAAATGCTGAGTCATTGGTTGCTATGTGATTTTTGTTCCTTCTGAAAAAACCCCCTCTGTTTGAGACAGAAATTCAGTCTCAAATAAACGGGTGCTGTGACAAAAACAGTACCTGGTATCAAGATGTTGTTTAGCAGTGAGAGGCAGAAGCCTCTGGTGGCCCCATGTGAGTTTTTATGAGCCTACAGTGTTTTACAGAAGCGATACGACGAGTTAAAGAGACCCTTAAAACGAGGTTTGAGAAAGAAATACAGCTGAAATATGATGGAAGTGACTGGGAGTTTTGGTGTGTGTTTGCTATACTTTGAGTGGATTTGACAGAAAACCCCACGTCCTGCAACATTAGGAGACACACTGGGTGAAAGTAGACAAAAATGCCTATGTTTTGATGTATTACAAACAGCATAAGTAATAAAATCTAAACCCATCACAGCATTTTAAATACAGTTTTTCAGATCAAAACCCAGAGTGCTTGACATTATCACTCTCTTAAAGAGACAAGCTAACAAAACATTTTATGAAACTTAAACTCCTATTTTGTACAAACGATATCAAAACAAAAATTTGATACCAAAACTCAACTTTTCAAGAGAAGCTTAAACTTCTGTAAAATACTCCTGGGTTCAGCTCCAAACGGCTCAATTTTGTCCCAATTTGGCTCAAATTGCCATTATGTTTAGCATTTACCTGCGACTTTCGTAAAGAGGGATTGGTAGATCGTAACCAAAAATCACAGCAGGTTTTCAAACTGAAGCAAGTTGATAAAAGATAATATCTAAAAATTTCATTTTAGGCATCAGGAATTTCCTGTGTGAACAAAATACTTGAACTTAACACAGTTGTGTTACACATTAAATAAAACCCGACACAGTTTTGAGAAACGTCCAACATGTCAGATTCAACGTCACTAGACTTCATAAGCCAGATTTCGTTTTCATAAATCTGGTTTGCATTACTTGGAGCTGAAAAGCTGAGAGGAACAAAAACAGGAATTTAATTTCAGTTGAAGATGAATGAAAACATTCATGTTTTACTTTCTTAGCCGTACAATGTGAGGAAATGAAACTTGAGGACCAGAAAACATCGACTATTTGTGTTTTTTTCCCCCTCTGCTGACTCAGCTCTTAGCTCTTCTGGCAAATAAACCCGTCGGGTCGAACTGCAGAAACAGCACGCTTCGTTTGGTGACATAACTGAGGAGCGGCTCAGCGGGTTTCCAGCATCAACACAGCTGAGAAACTCCTGAGGACATGGAGGACGGATATCAGATAACAGTCGCCTGTCCTCATGTAACTCGGTATGAAACCTGACCGTCTAGACAGGAAGTTACAGAAGATACTGGTCCAATCATCACCAGCAGGAGTTCAGTACCTAATATTCTCAACTTCTGTTTGAATTCCTCCACTGGTCTGATGGTATTCAACTGAAAATGTGCTTTACAAACTTTAACAAAGGTTTAAACGGTAGTTTAAGCTTCAAAGCAGCTTTTAACCGTTCACCTGAATCGATTCATCAGATTAATCGATTATTGAAGTGATTGTCAACTAATTATGTAATCAATTAACTGCTGACTGGAAAATGCAGACTCACAAAAGACCATTTGATGAAAGTTTAAGCTGAGGTTTAAAGTTTAAAAACAGTTTTTAGCCTTTCACCTGAGTGTAGCGCTGAAATGATTTATCAGATTAATCGTAATTATTTAAATAAGTCAATTCTTGTAATTAACTGGAAAATACAGACTCAAAAAACATTTTCAGAGTAGAAACCAAACCTGTACAAAAAATGTATACATTTTGCATTCAAGATAACAATAATAATAAAAAAATGTTTCTCTATAAATATGTTCCACCCAGAACTCCTCAAGTGGCTTCACTTGGTTCAGATTGTCTAAAAAATATCTCCTATTAAGAATATTTTGCTTTTGTTAAGTCGAGAAGAAATGGCTGAATTTCATTTTCTTGTTTTACAAATGGTCAAGCGTCAGACAATAGAATATTTACATTCCTCTTTAAAAATGGCTTATTCCTTTAATTGCATCTGCTCATGTATTTCTAGTAATTTATATTACAGAATGAGCCATTTTTTAAGATTAGATTAATTGCTAGAACAATCGATTTGTAAAAATAATCTTCAGCTGCAGCCGTACCTCAGTGTGTTGCCGCATGACCTGATGAGCTGAACGATGTCCTTGTGCAGAAATCCCTCGACGGCGGTGTCATTCACACTTGTAATGGTGTCCCCTGCACGCACGCACACACACACGCACGCACACACACACACACACGCACGCACACACACACACACGCACACACACACACACACACACACACGCAGGCACGCACACAGACACACACACGCAACATATTAGGGCCTGGTACGATTCCTCGAATGAGTCGAGTATCTTGATTATTAAAATTCCTCCAGGAAAATGTATCTGCCTTGAAGCTTCATTAAATTCTGATTTATTACAGAGCAGCGTTATTGCCAGCTTGGTATTTCTAATAGTGACTGTATTGCATTGGATTGGAGCAGAAGAGCTGCTGTAACCTTTAGGGAAAGCTTGTTCACAAGCTGCTCTGACTTCTGCCCATCACTATTGTGAAGTGCTAGCAGCTTGGTGTTGAATTGTGCGGTTTGGGGACAAATAAGGATTGTTGTGGCTTGCGGTGTGATGTTTGGATTATGACAGATTTTGTGCCGTTGTCACGGTTTTGGGGCGAACGGTAGGAATATGTGAGTGAGTGAGAGAGATCCGATTCCTCGGATAATTGTGAAAATATTCAATGGAGTACTCGATTACTAAAATATTCTTCAACAGCCCTACAGCACATGTGTCAGACAACCGCCATGAGGTCACAATGCTCCCAGTCAATATGGATTTAATTTGTTGAAGATGCAGCCAACCCAGGGATGAAACCTCTGCACATGTGAAGCGCACATGTGCAGTCGTGGCGTTTCAAATTGTCACTTCACTCCAAGTCCAGTGGAAAGAACGCAAATATTTCATGCGTGTTGGTGTTAAGTGGCTGAAGCCGTTTCATCTTCTTTGAGAATGGCCTGGAGTAATTAGATGTGGTTTGGACTCGACGTGCTTTGTGTTCAGACAGGACAGCGTGCGAAGTGGAACCGACACATCCAGTTTGGATTTAGAAGAGATCAACACTTTCTCTCTTCCCTCGCTGACCGGCGGAGACGTGGCGCTCGGCGAGCCGTGACGACTTTCAAAAGCAGAGACGATTTCCTGAAGCTCTCTGGTGTCAGCTCTCATTTATTCCTTTCCTAAACCTTTTCTGCTTCAAACGCAACCATCACTTCAGTCTGTTATGGGGGAATCTATGCGACAAACCAAAAGGAAGTAGTCCATAACTGCTGAGTTGAAGAAAAACAACACTTTTTCCCCCTCTTTTTTCTGTAAAGTGTGTCATGCATTCATCTTCAAACTCCACCGAGTCGATACTTTGTAGAAAAACATTTAATGGCAAATACAGCAAGATATTATCTTATTATCTATAATCTTTTGTACATTTACAAACTGAATATGTCTGCTGAATGATAAATTGTTTCAAAAGTTATTGCGATGAAAAATAATAATGCTTTGAAATCATTTCTAAGTAACATATTGGTAATAATGCCACTTCTTTAAGTAAGTTTAAGTTCTAGGAAGCTTATATGAAATTTTAAAACAATATTTGCCTGGCGTTATAAAAGCTCTGCCACGCTGCCACAGTCATACGGTAACCTAAAAGAAGAAGCAACAAATATTGTTTTAATCATAATTTTTGCTATCACAATAGCGCCATAAAATATTGCAATATACTTAAAAGTCCACATTGCTCACCTCTACTCAAAACTAAAAGCATCTCAGCTCTATAAGACTTGAATATTTCTGTTAAGTTTTTTTTTTTTGTTCAATATATTTTTGCGAAGATGACTGGGCAGAAATCTCACTCTACAAATTTGATAACAAATTTTGCTGGACGATAAATCATCCCAGATGAACGACAATATTGTTGTTTTGAAATATAATGGTGACGGTATAATAATGCAAGTTCACCCTCTCAAAGATGAGTAAATTTTAATTTCTAGTGAATATTTAACTCTGGAACTGGAAGACATTTCAAATGTCCAGGACAAATACACAAAACAAACAAAAGAACAAATAAAACGGAATATGAAGCGTCTTTAAAAACCAAATGCATGTGATTAAAGCCTTTAGTTTTGGTGGAAAGAGAAAAACAAACATGCAAATAGAAATGATCAGGCTCGCTTTAATTGCGATTAAATTACACACAGATGGAATTTATTTAACAACACGGGTGACTTCTGGCAACAGTTTGTGGCTCTTTTGAGATTTTTGTGAAAAGGTTTAAGGGGTGCGAACACTTTTGAATGCGTCAGCTGAAATGGTTGTTTATTAGCAGGAAAAATGTCGAATCAAGCAGCCACATTTTGAGTTCCCATAACAACCAAGCAGCAGGTTGGTTTGTGCTGATGTAATGTGTTCAATGTCAGCTGATAAAAACACAAAGGAAACTGTTGTCATGCTCTCTTCCCTTTTGTTTATTTCAGGTTATTTCAGGTCTCATCCAAAAAAACAATAACGCTAATAATAACTCACCAACTTTAAGTCCTGCTTGTTGGGCCGGGCTGCCGTCGTGCACCCTGTACACAAATGTGCACATCTCCACTGAGTTTTGTTCTTGGTGGTGAAGGCCGTAAGTCTGGGAAAGAGACAATGGAGAACATGAAGATGAAGCAAGTCTTCCTCTTTTTAGATGGCTTTCAAAACCGACGAACGTCTGATGTTCTGAAATATTGTGGTAACAGTGCAACATCAGAGATAGAAACCCACTGAACCGCATGCAGAGGAAGTCATGACGGACAGTGCCGGAAAGACCGTTTTATCACAGAGGACGCACAAGGGTGACGCACGCAAGCAAATACGAGCCGCTTCCTCTCGCCTCCCAAAACAAACTGAACGAAGAATTTAAACGTCCTAAATTGGTCAAAATGTATCTTTGTCTTTTTCACTAATACTGAAAATAAAGGATGCAATCATTTTGTTAATTTGTTTGTGTTCAAATGTGAAAAGACTATTTTGTCCATAACTGATTCAGTCGCAAAGAATAGAAAAAAGAACCAGAGGAAATACAATTCAACTATACAGAAAAAAAGAGATGAAATTACATTTGCGCATCAAATTTTTGCATCAACTACAGGAATAAATAGACTCATCATGGGCTAAGAGTCATATTTGATGATGCTTTTGAAGAAGGGCTGCAACTAACAATAATTTTTGTAATTGGTTATTTTGACAAAAAAATTAAAATTGTACAATATTAAAAGTACATTTAAAGATACAAATCTTAATAGGAAAAAAAGACAATTTTAAGCTTGTGAAGTCAATTGTTGTTTATAAGAATCATTCAATTTGTTGGCTGAAATAAAAACATTTCAAATGCATTTTTGAAAACTCAAAATTATGTTCATGCTCATAATGTCTATAAATATCTCAGCAGCCTTGTAAAGGCTTTCTGTAGTTTCACAGTTTTGCTTAATATTGCCAACAAGCTTCCTCATTTTTGCTGTTTTAATTTATCTAAACTATTTGTGTACTTCCATGCCAGCATTAACGTTTATATTTTGCCGTCTTGGAAATTCTGACTTGTTACTTCCACATGTATTTCAATGAACTTCCTTGTTTCAGTGACCATAGCGCCTCTGCACAAAGGTCAGAGAGAACTAAAATACACTTCCCCATACCAGACACCTTTCAGACAGTTAACGTGCTGCTGCTAAAGAAGCCATTATCGGTTAAAAAGGACAATAAAACTGGACAAATGTTGCAAAACTTTGTGTCTGCCTGGCACAGGTCCTGCTCCAGTTAGATCATGCATCCAGGTTACCAGGGCAAATTTTAAATGATTCAAATCTGGCCTGTATTTATAACGACTGGCTTCCTTCTCAGCAACCGGCAGGGTAAACACGTTAGCATGCAAATATCACTGAAAGGCAAATTTCACATTTGCATGCTGCATTCCCAGCTCAATATTCACAGTACCGACTCGGAGGGAGGAAAAGCACCAGGAAACACGAGACTCCACATTCATGGCGGGCTCTGCTGGCCATCAAACTGCTCCTCATGGCCTCACTTCCTTCTGGCCGCAGCCAGGCAGGAAGGGCGGGAACGCCTAACGAAAGCGTAAATAGAACACCGTGTCTTTTCCTAGAAGTAGCCCTTCATTTCCCAAGTCTTTATGTGAGCAGCAGCACAATATAATATCCATGTTGTGCTCACACGTTTTGATCATTTTTGTAAACTATTCAAAGAATGAGTATGGAAAACAGAGCGAGGTGTGGCGCTGCAGGGGGTCTGAAGATTTGTGAGTGAAGTTCCTGCTGGCTTGGTGGGAGAGAGTAGAGCAGGTTTCACATCGACAGCGTGTGAGGAAACCTCAGCGCTTAAAATAAAGATGCTGCAGGGGAAAAATGGCTTCAGTCATGGGATGAACATGAGCAAGATACTCGACTGATGCTTGACCTTTTTACTCCCGCTGGCGTAAAGAAACAACTCGATTTGGAGACGCAGGAAATCATAAGGGAATCCACTTTTCTCAGATACCGATATCTGAGGTTTAATGTCAGTCGATACAGAAAAACTCCTCTGAATTACAAATTTCTATAATAACTGTGCATCAGTCCAGCACACTTCAATGCATCAAGAGCTTCAAAGTCGGTAAAATACGTAAAAAAAACACAATTTGTTCAGTCAGTGCAATTATGAGAAGAACAGCCAATGTAATATAAAATGTTGACTAACGTGGTCAAACGTGAAAATAAACTACAACAAACCTTCTTTCAATTGTTCAGAAAGTACAATTAGGAAATATAAATATAATGCAAAAGAAATAATAAAGCATGACGTCACTCAGAGCAAAAGGCAGAAAATTAGAGAATTTTTTCAATACTGAGGCTGATATACATATTAATATCGGTTTGGATAATCTGTAGAAACTACTTGATTGTTTCTGATGCTTTAAGGCAAGAGAATGAAACAGCACTTGACATTTTCCTAAACTAAGAAACCCTTTACCTGAATCTCAAAACCAAAGGCCTCCTCTTCATTTTTCTCCAAGTCCACCACTTTCCTAAAGAAAGAGAGAAAATACGTTTTTAAACCAGGACAGTCGAAAAGATCAACTCATCCAAAGAAAGTCAGTTATTTGCAAGCTGTTCTCAAATATAGCAACCTTTATTGACTGAAGGAAGGCACCTCTATCATAAACCAACAAAGCAGCAGACAGATGTAAAATGCAAACCTGACACCCATAAATAAGAACTAATACAATCTACTGCATTCAGAAATCTCTTAATCAGTAGATAGTCCATCTATGAGTTATTTGACATGGATGTTAATTAATGCTACCAACAACCAGTTGAGTAACTTGTGTAGCAGCACTTTAGTACAGTGTTTGAAAGCATGAGGGGATATGTTGCTGCTGCACAAGACGTCCTCTGTGTCCAGCTGCATGTGGACGTCACAGAGACACAGGACAATGAAATGCCACCAGCAGAATACATGAAAATTCATGAATATGCTTTACAGATCTCACGAAAACCTAAATCTACAAAAGCTCTCTGTTTGGACATCGACTCTGAGGTGACGCAGTCATGGCGTCAGAGTGAGAGAAGAAGAAGAAAGCCGTGACTGATGTTGACGAAGGAACTGAGGAGATTGTACCTTTGTGGTTCTGGGGGCAGCGTCAGGGGTTTCCACTTCTGCGAGCCTCCACCCTGTGAGGAGAAAACGAAAACGAGAGATGAAACATCTCAAGACACCTGCGTGAGGTTACTGCCAGATTACTCACAAGGGATTCCCCCCTCCCCCAAAGTGTCCAATGTGTGCAGGATGTATTGTACACATCACTGCTTTAAACAGTGATGTGTGAAAGACCAGTCTGTCAGGTCTTTCACTAGCAAGCGCGTGGCAAGTTGTGTGTTTGTGTTTTTAAACCACTGATCCATTATGCTTGAAAATAATGAGACTGAAACTAGACATGCATGTCTGGGATGCTTTTTGTTTACTTTCAACTGGAACTTAGTCCTCAGGCTGAATTTCACAGCAGATCAGCTGCCCCCGAAGCGCACAAACTGTTGATTGATTTATTTATTTTTTTTGTTATTTAAAGCCATTCACACAAACTCCAGGCTATAAACAGAAACACACAAGGCACTGTGGTAAACACTAGGCTACAATAAGCGCATTGAGAGATAAACCAAAGTCAGCAGCAGGTCAGGCTCCTGTTCTACCTGACTGTGTAAAAACGACATGCAACCATCCAGATACTTTGGCTGAAAATCATTTTCAAATGTTGCTCCCATGAAAGCCTGCTTTGTGCCAGAGGCTCTCTGCCCAGTAAAATGTTGCTTTCTTTATGTCCCAACACTTACAGAATTGTCCAGCACTTGTTTCAATGAGTGCATTTATTCCCAAGTACCCACACGGAGCAGCCGGGGGCGGACCTGACGGGGTCTCCGTCCCCGAGTGTGCACAATGCCGTGCTGTTGGCCCGGCTGCAGGCTGCAAGTGGGTGGGGTTCCTAATAACTGCGCCTCAATGTACAATACGTTGTACAGTGAGGCAGGACTGGACACAGGATTCTCGAGAGGCGTTTCCACACCTGATAGTTCGGGAGACTCGGTTTGATTACGAACCAAAACCGCAACATTTGTTACATTTTCGATTTCATGCTGCATTGTGACCAAAGATCCACTGAACTGAAAAACCTGTTCCCCTCTGCGCCTGTGGTGGCGCTGCACTAAGAACTACTGAAGAAAACGACACAAAAACCTCCAAAGAAGACACGGAGTGCAACTTCCATCTTTCCAAAATGTAAACAAAAATGAAATTTTTGCACTTCAATTTGCCTTGTTGCTGAAACTATGCTGAAAAAAAATGACCTTCCCTTGAGAGGTTGTAGACTTTGTCTTTGCTGGCGTAATTTTTTGCACAATCAGCTTCCCCAAGTGAATTAGACTTTCTAACAAACTATAGAGATTGATGAAAGCAGGAAGTGAACTACAGCACAAGGCATTCTGGGTAAATACAACCAAAACAAATGCGAGAGGCTAACGCTAGCAGGAGAAATGGGTCATGGTCTTTTACTAATGACAAAAGAGAAATCTTACGACTGCTAACATTTGACATTACTCCATTTTTGTTTAGATTCTGTGAATAAGGAAGTTGCAAATTTCTTCTTCTGAAGTTTTTACGTTGTTTCCTTGTTGGTGTAGCACCCCCGCAGGTGAGGAGGGAACAGGCTTTTCAATTAGTTTGGATTGTTTAACAGTGTCAATGTAACAAATGTTTCAAACCGAGTCTACTGAACCATCGGTTGTGATCGTGAAATATCTGTCTTTAGCCCAACATTAATGTTGACCAACTGGGAAAAATCCAGAGCAGAAAAATGCTGAGTGACCAGAATTAGACAGAAAACTGATCTCATTCTTGGAAAGAGTAGAAGAAGAAATGTAGGTCACTTGAAAATCAATGACTAAATCTTGAAGTAGAGGCAAAATGAGGGGAGCAAACCGTTTTCGGGAGACAAGCTCAGCAGTTTTTTTAAAAACCACAAGTACAAAAATCATCTAAAGATAAGATCTGAAAAAGATTTTAGATTTCTGATATTTTATACTCATGACTGTAATCGATTTGAAGATCTAGATCAAGTACAAGAAACTGTTACATCAGACCCTGAACCACAGCAGAGAGGGCAGCTCCTGATGCATCATGGGTAAACCTGTCCTAAATATCTGATCATTTATTGTAAATTACACTGTAGCTGAAAAACATTGCTTTCCTGAGTAAAATATCTTGTTATTGATTAGAGCGGCATAATTTCTGTAATGCTAAAATTACAAACGCATATTTTGGTATTTGAATACATTTCAGTGCAGTGTATTAAAACCTTTAAATTACATATTTACCCAGCCGAATGTTTATCGTCAACAATCATTAGATGTTTATCGTAAAGACCTGGTCAACAGAATAAGGGCAAACTACTTAAAATTATCAGCAAATGTCATTAAGACCTGGATTAATGTTAATTTATTAAATGAAGCAACACACAATTTGTTGTAAAGTCAATTAATTTGATTATGGTATGTGGATGATATTAATTTCTGGTTTCCATTTCATCCCAACTTACTCCGGTTTCACATTCATAAACAAACCATTCTGTCTTTGATAATGTACTTTATCAGTTTTGTTTGATGGTTTAATGTTTTAATGAGTTATGTAAGAAAAATAGGGAAAAAAATCTGTATTTTTAAATTTAACTGTCTGATCTATAAGTATCTATTGATTGTGGTTCAGTTGATTGCTGAATAAATTTCACAGTGAAAACCCATATTATTCTATATATTATTGTAAATGTGATTGAGTTTTATATTGTTGTGATATTAAACTATAAACTACAGCAGGCAACAAACATAAAACTGGTTTTATGAACTGATACAATGTTGGTATGAAACATGACAGAAGAACAAAAAATAAAAACTTGGAGAAAATGACCAAAAACTCAACGATATGAAAGGACAAAAGTCAAAAATGGGCCCTAAATCGATTCCGATTAGGGCCCCATGTGGGGTTGGACCGCCCCTGTTCTGTCCCAATGTGTGCTATTGGACTGAACATGCTGCTTGTAGTGATGACTGAGGATAATGTTAGTTATTTATGAGTAAATTTTTTTTTTACCTCTGCAAATGATAAATTAATAACTTTAACAGGTAAATATGACGGTGTGCAAATATTCACATAATTTTACAGCCCTACCTTCTTGAAGTTTCGAGGCAGCGTGCCCCCAGAATAAGCCAGAGTCTTGTAGTTATAAACCTCCGAGGAGTTGGCCGGGAGCTCCACCGACCTGCAGCTGTCCGACTTTGACGATGGGAAATAAATGTCGTGGTCCTGGGATGCGGGTCCTCCGTCCACCCCGCTGGAGTTCACCTTCTTCAGCCTCCTGAACGTCATCGCTGCCGGGAAGGAAACGTGAAATACAGCCGCGGACGGTGCGGTACAAGGTGTGACACAGGACGACGGAGCGAGATGCCGAAAGTTTGAGCCTCACCGTGAAGCTCACCAGAACTTCACTGCGGCTCCTGGGAGTGAAGAGACGCCGCTCAACAGGCGGTGGAGGCGGGGACTCATTAGCTCCGAGCGACGGGAAGGAGGGCCAACCGCCATGACTGTGATGCGTTCAGGAGCGCCTCGGGCGTTCCCTTTTCACGTTTCACATTGAAGGAATCAGACAAGGAGTCAGTAATTGAGTTACATTTACTCAATTACATTTACTTGAATGGGGAAAAAAAATACTTTTAAGAGTATTTTTACTAGGAAGTATTGCTGCTCTTGTTTGAGTACATGTTGAATGAAAAACAAACAGGTTTTAACCAAAAATTCACTACACACAGACACACACATGAAGTTTTTGTGAAAGTTTCATGAAAGAAACTGATTTGGAACTTTTTTTTGTTTGCCTGATTTTGTTATTTTTTGTTATTGACATAAATTATTGTCATTTTGCTTTTAAAAACACCAAAAATGACCATTTAACTTTATATTTTGGTCTGTCTGATGATGTAATTTTACATTAAATGACTATTTGATCAATTATTACCAAGTACCTTTTACTCTTAATTAACTTCTTGGATGGCTACTTTTTTCTTTTACTTGAGTAAAAATATGTAGAATTATACTTTCTGTGTACTCTGCCAACCTTTGCTAGAGGCACTGACAGTGTAATATAAAAAATAAAATGTGAAAAGATCAATCTCATCCTCCTCTACTTTGGCAGTTTGAAAAGATTCACAGCTCCCTCCTCCTGTCTTAGCGCTGTCAATCAAGCTCATGTATACACTGTGGAAAAACAACTTACAGTTCCAGAAAAAAACTGTGTTTCTGTTGCCTCAGCATTCATGATTGTTCATGTAATCAGGAAGAAGTAACAGAAAGTAGAGAGGTGAAGGTGGGGAGCGATGAGTAGCTCTCACACAAGGATGATTGACAGCGCTAAGACCTTTCTCCTAGCTCTGATTGGTTGTTTCTAGTTAGCACTGGGAGAAAGTGGATTTCAATTGTTTTCATAGATGATCTGTCTCATGTTAAACTGTCACAACATGGTGACAGTTTCACCAAATATAAAAAAAATGATCTAGTTTTTGTTGCTGAGCACCTTCTAACTTTAAAACCTTTTGTAGCCCAATAAAATATTTAATGTTTACAGCTCTAAATGAGTTAAAATTACATATTAAATTACATACAAGTGTAATCTGAGTATCTACATGTTAATTAGACTTTTAGGAAAGCTTCGCTGCATTTTATTCAAGGACAAATGTGATTGGAGGTGAATACAGATGCAGGTCACATTTTTCACATTTTTATTTGTAAAAACACGTGAAAGCCATGTATTTTTAATACACATTTTAATTCAACAATCCTTTCTTTACACTTTACAATGATTGTTCTTGCATGTGTTGGTGAAAAGCATCAGACCGAAATAATTAATTAACTGAAGTTTGTGATTTTAACCAAACAATGGAAAAGTTCAAGGGATATAAATGATTTATCAAGGCACCAGGTCTATATCAATCTTTGTGTTTTACTGGGAATCGAATCACAAAAGAAATCAATGCACACAACAAATCAGCAGCTTGTTAGTACATGCAGATATATATGTATATTTTATATTAAACATTGGGTTAATAAAAGTTTTGGAAGAGAAATTCTGCCCCCTTGAGGTGAAATGAATCAATTAAATGATATTCTGCTAAATGTGTTTTAAATGAGCACAACACAAACTGAATCCTAGACAATTTATTAAAATCTTTACATGAAGTTATTACTTTTACATTCTCTAGCTATACTGAAATGATACAGCTGATAAAGCATTTAAATACATATACTGTAATAAATAGCCCCAATCAATAGTGTAACTCATAACACATTCAGAAAATATGTATTGATAATATGATCACTACGGAGTAGCTCTCTGATTTAATCAAACCCAGAAAAAACAAGTTTGGTCCACATAAGGGTAAAAAAAAAAAACCTTGGAAAACACAGAGAGGAACAGCAGGCCGCATGTTTTTCCGTTCCCTTAAACAGTTTTCAAGTATATTTTTGAAAATAATAATAAAAAAAGCTAAAATATCAGCCTAAATTTGAAATAAAGGTGCTTCTTTCTCCATCTTTGTTTCTAAACATACATTTGGTTTTCAGAGCAATATTTACAGCCTCAACAAAACAAGAATACTACATGGTCAGTCCTCCAAGTGCAAACATACAGAAAACCTCGGTCTTCTATCTAATCAGAACCAAAGAGAAATGATTATAAAGGCACATGAAGCCAAATAGTTGTCCTATTTAAGATCACAGCCACTTCAACCTTACCTAAAGTTTCTAAAGAGCAGCACTCCCACCTGCTGTCAAGCTTCGAAACAGCAGGATTGGAGCGTTTTACTAACACTGAGATAATTTGGTCAAAATCCTTTTGGCCACAATGCAAACATAGTTTAACATTCGGTCTGTTTTCATATGATGCCATGCTTGAAATATGTGTTACAGACACAAGCTGTCTGGAAAAAACATCCTAATTTCTTTGTTATAATACAAGTATTAAACTACCTCAAACACTGATCCTATATCAAAAGGTGTCAGTCCTGAATATACAGTAAACATGCGTTAAGACGGTCAGTTTTACTTGAAGAAGCCTGACGGTTTAGATGGAGGAGCCATCAACATACATGCTTGATTCTTGTGTGTGATATGAATCTGCAAAACAAGAGGAACGCAAAATGTCCAGCGGTTAAAAATGTTACCAAATCACACATTATACTGGAGCTAATGCAACGATTAAAAATTCTTATATTACAGGGTTTCTGAAAGATTCAGTAAAGCAAGTTTAATTTTAGATTATGTTAGTTAAACAACAAAATCTTAACATATGTTCTTCTACACAATTTCAATGGAAACGAGCAAGTTGTAAATATGCATTTTTAGATTTTATTTACATTAAAAAACAACAGTAAGTCTTTTTTGAGGGAATATTTTTTATGGTTTTTACTACGGCTGGCTTTAAAATAGTAAAAGTGTAAAAATAAGAAATGTGCAGAACATTAAACAAATAAATGCCAGCAAAGTATTCTTCAATAATTAAAGTAAAAAGTAAATGAAAGACATAATGAAGCTATAGATTTGCACCTTTAAAACTTAAATAATGGTATTTTTTTAGCAAAAATATGGGTTTTTATTGAGAACAGTATTCTCAAATTTTATTGAGACTTATATTAAAGTTTAAAATTACAGTGGAAGAGAAAAGCAATAAAAAGAAAAAGTTTAACATCCATGTTAAATTAAAATTAATACATTCTGTGGGTATTCTGGACATTTTTAAGAGTTGAAATTCAGATGACAAAATGTAAGAATTTAAATTCTTCTCAAAGACCTTGCAGAAACCCTGCTCTACTCCAGCTTTAATATTTTTCCAGGTTTCATTTACCGTGCAGGGCGATTGCATCCACGGCTCTCCATCTATTTGCATCGGCAACGGTTTCTTTGTCCTGAGTATGAAACACAAACAAATCGTCAAGTTGCATGGAGTTTTTTTATTAAGAAATTAAAATATGTTATTGTAAATGTGACTTTGTAACCAAATATTTGTTTTCAGCTGTAATTAACAAAAGCAGAAGTGGTCATCTCATTTGATGAAGGAAAGCCCGTCTTAGAGGCTCGTTCCTACCTGATGGTGATCTGGGAAGTTTTAGCGAGCCTCACAGCGCTTTTAAGACCCGTGTATATCTGTCCCATTTCCATGGCTCCTTCCAGGCCAACCACCTCCAGCCGGCGGTCACTGAGGTCTGATAAACACCAGCAGGGAAAACAAACAGTTTGATCAAACTCAAGGTATGGACTCCAGTTTGGTGTGGTTTCTAACACCAACATGGTGGCAGAAGATCACAGTCAGGTGGTTGGTGTCCCAGTTATATCCACATGGATGGAAGAACCCAAGTCCAATCTTAGCTAAATGGTAGTCAATAGCCTGTGGAGCTATAACATGGACTTGCACCATATAATATGTTAAAATTAGTCAAAATGCTAACGTAGGCCTAAATGTAGCAAGTGGGGTATCATTAGAATGTTGTCTTACATTGACCCCAAAAACAACATTGGAGGTGCATTGTGCCGTCACCTCGCAGCCCAGGAAAAGTTCCAGAAATTTGGTCAGATGGTTTTACAGACAAGTTTTGTTATTGTTTTGTTGCTACCATCCAGAAACCACTGGACTACAAGACTGCTAAATGCTTTCCAAAGATGTACGGTTATATAATTTCACATCTGTTAGCAGCCATTTTCACATCCGAGTGTAAACGTTGGGTTGAGGGCCGTGGCCAGAAGGAAGGAGCTAATTTTTAAAGCGACCAGAGATGGGAAATAATGTTAAATGAGCTACAGAAAATACTAGAACATGAAGTGCCAATGACTTGTCTAGATCTATATGTCAGCAGACTTTTATGACTTCTCATGATGAATACCCGATTAAAATACTGATGGGGACAATCAAAAGAGCCACAAGGAAAGGAAACAACAGCAAAGGAAGATCAATGGACAGCAAATGTAGAAGAAATATTTTTAGATCAAAATATTGACACACTTCCTGACGCTACAAAAGTATAACTGTGGTAAAAAAAAATTGAGAAAATTGACCTTTTATAATGCAGAATGAGGACTGGAATAATAATTGTTGAATACAGTGATCTGCTGAATAGTCAAAGCATTATCCTCTGTATAGGCAGCTCTTTGTTCTGTTTGTTTTTTTCTTTTTGCTTAAAAAAAACAATAAGTGATTAAAAAAGACCCTAAAACAGCTGAATCTGAAAGAAATTCAAAATAGGCAGAACTGAGCAGATTAAAATCTCGTTATCTTAGAATGATTTAGTACAAAAAATATAATGAACATTGTGTTGCCCCAAGGTTAATGTCGCTGATTTTACTTGTGTGTTTGAAGAGAAAAATGTAAAGATGCAAAACAAAAATGTATTCCACAGTTTTTGCGTTATCCTTTGCAAGAACAATTGAATCCTAGATAACCTCCATGTAAACAAACTACGGTTGAAAAACCGTGCGGTTCTGTCGATCTTATTTGCAGCGCCTTCGTTAACGCACACCTCATTTGCATAAATTGCAAAATGGCCAATTAAGCTATAAAACATAC